ATGACATACTACTCCAAACCTACCATTGCCAACACACCGCCATCCCTTTTAAGCAAGCTCTTGAAGTGCTCACAACCGTACACATCGACACAGACAATAAATCAGCTGAACCCGTCACCCGGGCTTAAATATTCGGTACAGTATGCTGACATTATAGACACAAAAAGATTCAGCAGTTCTAGAATACTGAACGAGGTGTCTGCGACATTGAGAGTACTCAGACGATAACCTGTGGTACCCATTGAACTATTTTAAAATTCTACAATAAAATCAATGCTATTAATTTCATGTTTATTTCATACAGGATCGTTGTCAAACTTATCAGATTTTAAATGATCAATTCATAATCACCATTTAAAGACAAACTGTCCTCTCAACTAAAGATTTCCATTTTGCTACCTACAGTTCAGCTTATCCTTTGGTCTAGGACAGCCAGACGTCATTTCACAGGACCTGAACTACACAATTATATATTATATACAAAATATTTTCAAGTTTGCTTTCGAAGGATACCTACAAAGAGTAGATCAAGTTTTCAAGTTTACAGAAAACCATATGATAACAATTTACCACTATAAATGTCTTAATACCTGTTTATTCCACTCTATTAATAGCAACACTAACAAAATTTGTAATGCATATGCCCCCACCACCTGTACGTTCCCTAAGCTAACATTTTGACACTTACAAGAACATCTCAATTCGGCAACCGAGTTTTACAATACTGCTCCTATCAATCAAATAGGGATGCAGCACGATCCCAATTCTCATGAGTTTTAACATATGGAGAGAGTATATTATTTACCTAAGACTGAAGGGCTATACCTTACTTTATGAAAAACAAAGATAGCCACATCAATTTAATTCCATATACACACTACCTATTCAATTTATTAAAAATTGTAATAGACATCATCAAACTAGGGCTCCAAACTTATGCTGTTCATGTAGAAGACACTACAAAAGAAGACACAATAGAGACTGCCCTGCAAGTACAAATTCCTTCTATAGAGATGGAGAAATAAAAGGACAAATCTAGTTGTCTAAAAGACAATTCACTGTACACATTTTATTTACAGTTTTGTACACTGTCTTAAAATGAATGGGACCGCTTTTCTACTTGAGCCATTTTTAACCAAAGCAAAATAACCTAAGTAATACAAAGTGTTAAAATACAGCATAAAGATACAAAAACAGACATACTAATTCTAGTTAGGAATGTAATTATGATGTTACATTTTTTTATAATCCACAATTATGTTTAGGAAATCACACAAACATAGATCACTGATTTGAATGAAATGCATAAATTTGTAGCAAAGCTTGGTAGTTACAAAAAAGAAAAAAATTACCAAAGAATGCACAAAATTAATGTTTATTCCACCTTTGTGTCATATTCCTGGATCCTTCACCAATGTTACATGAGGAAAAAAAACAAAAGCAAAACAAATGAAAAACTGAAATCAGAATCACTAATGTTATCAAGTAGGGAAACAAATAAATTAAAATCTAGCAGCCATCAGCAAGAGTACAGCAAAGACACTGCTGTAAAAAGAAACAAAGAAAATTGCTAGAAAACTGTATGCGTCATACTCTTTCAAACCAGCAAAATATGCTCCTGCATACAATGGAACATAAATAGAACTTCCTTCCTGTCAGGTATAGAAATGCAAATTGTTTTTTGAATATTGTGGATGGGTAAAATGTGTTTGCAATGGTAATTCTACTGAACTATTACAGAGTGGGCCAGGAACACATTTATGGATTCTGGGGACGATGTGTACTGTAATTCTTTGATTGGGACAGTGGACACTCTAGCCAAAATTAAAAAAAAAAAAAAATATGAACACAGAAGTACAAGACAAAGGCGAATGAGACTTCTCTTATATCTTAGCAACATTTAGATGGAAATCAAATTTAAATGCAGTCCACTCTGCTTTTGAAGAGGCTTTGGTTCAGCTCCCAAATCTCGATTGCTTGACGCAGTCTCCTACGAGAATACTCAGAAGGTGTCTTCTTAAACAACAAACCTATTTTTAGTGGTGGAGCCGCTCTTAGTAGCTGTGTCTGCATGGGACTGATAACCAATCACTATCTTTGGAGGAAGTCCTAACCTTTCCTTGTATACCCTCCTAGAAGAAAAAGAAAAAGAAGAGTGACCATTAATTTTTATTCACCAAAAACTAAATAATTAAAAAATTCAGTATTATTAGTCTTCATATAAAAAAAACCCTAGACTTGAAAGTAAATTAGGAAATTGTGCACCCTTTCCTTTCAGCACAATTTACTCATTTTCACAACAATCTTGGTTAATCACTTAACAAATATTTGAGAACC